TACGAAAGTTGACAAAATAAAGTTAGAATAACCAATTAGATGGAAGGTCTTTTTATCTACCAAAAGATTATAGCTATCTATTAACGAACAGGTGAAATTGATGATAAAATGATGACTTTATTAATAACAATGGCAACTAATTACAACATTGGTTTACATAGCTTTCAGCTAGTCGGGGCGTTAGTTTGTACTAAAGAGAGAAAGAGGTTGACCGGTGGTTACTGGTCTCCACGGTAGCTTCTGATCCAGGGTTCATGGTGACGCGGGTTTTTCATGTACTGCTTTGGTCCAAACAAAGGCACCGTCTTGTCATATGCATTGGCCTAAATAAACAAATTAAAGAAAGAAAGCGCTCGATGTTTATTTTTGACGTAACATCATCAAATGGTGTGACTTCATCATGTTGTTTATACACAACTACTACATACAATTGATGAACGATGGACCATTTCAGATGTCACGTCAAAAATCAAGATCGAGCGATTTCTTCATAACTATGTTTTTTCMGCATTTTTAATRATGGAAAACGCAAAAATCAAGTTCCCTTCTTATGTTTTTGCTTCTTTTTAAGCTACAAAAAGTATATATTTTCTTTGCGGGCGGACCTGTCGAGAGGGATAAGATAAACCGGCATTGATAAACCGGATTTTTCGTATAAATGGAGAATAGGGCYACTTTTGATATTATCCAAAATCCGTTTCTATCAGAACATAAAGGGATAATAAAACTGAATTGCTTACCCTTCGAGCAAATGCTTGAATCCCGTTTAGAACCTGAAAAACAGCACGTGAAAAGCGTRAAAAGTGGTACTACTACATGAAGCAGGCTGGCCAGGTTAACTGGTCTTGGTTTCTGTCGTTTCATATCATCCAGGAAAATATATAAAGAAAGGATTAAAACATGCCCCGGTGCGACCCAGAACGTCTCACGTAATCAAATGGCCARTTTATAAAGGTATCATTGCAATGGTTTCTGATGGTCTTATTTGCACGTCTGTGAGAAGTCGATRGATATTTTGTGATTAGTATACTTGAGAGTCATTTATGACAGGTCTTTTCAGATTCGTCGTTTGTCGACTGAATGGGAGTTATGGGAGAGTAATGGGAGTATGTTTGTGCGTCTGTGACTGGCCGTTWGCAATCGGATGTTTGTGATTGGTCGTTTATGATTACCTGTGCGACGTTCTGTCGTTCGTATAAGTACACAGTTGGAAACATTTCAGCAGGCACACAGTTGAATGGAGGTTTATAGCACGCCTCCAGGAAATTATTGATGTTTTCTTGGCCCTGTAAAGAAACATTTGAGGACAATTGTCCATGACTATATTCCTAGGATGTTATTCATTTAATTTCTAGCTGTCATTTGGAGTTTATTGTCGAAACACTGCAGAAAGTGAAGGGGGTCATCATGTATTGGCTGAGTCATAAAGCATTGAGTTAACGGGGGGATATTTCACGTGCTTGAGAAATATCTGCCTGACAACTTGGCTCTAAACTTGAAATACTTGAAAACTTTGACCAAAGAACAACAGAAATCTAATCTTATTCTGACAATAGATATCGAGTTTGATATCTCAATCGTAAACCATGAGTAGTAAAAAGTGAATACTCGAGCGTTAAGAGTTATTGTAAAATTGTTAAAAGTTACGAAAAATGATCAATAAATCAAATTCTAACAATAATAGTAGTGTAGCTTCGAATAAAATAATAAAATAAAAAATAATGAKGTAAAATACAAATGGGAGGTCATAGTATCATATTGGAGTTATGAAAAACCTTATTTTGAGATTTATAAGATGATCTATACTCAGTATCGGACGATGGCCGTAATACCCCTAAATAAATGTTCCTTGTGTCCCACAGCTTATTTTTCGAAACCCTTGTTTATATTAAAAATCGTTTTTCTTTGCAAAATGCGTTAGATTCCGGACCAGTGTTGTTTCTCCTCTCGGTAACTCCCTCTCGGTCAAGACGAATCCAGTGTGCACGTTTTGTGCTTGTAGCCCCTCGACAGCAGTTGATACAAAAGTCTTGTTTGCGAGACGGAGTGAATTCAGTTATCATGAACATTAGCCATATTAACTCGCTCTTTACTGTCAAGTAATACAAAACAATCTGATAATTTTAAGCAATCTCAGTTTGTAATRGSTTCTCTTTAAACGGTGCAGTTAATGCTGTGCGTACCTGAAATGAATTGACCTTTTCTCCTTGGTGTACTTTTGGTACACTCTTTGGAACAACCTCGTTTATTATCCTGSAGTTAAAAAATATACAGGAACTCAGATAGTACTTTGGTAGAATGTTTTTAAAAGTCACTGGGCTAAGTGAAATTGCAAAAATAGGAATAGAGAAGAATACAGGAAACACACCAGAGCCATATACAAAAGGCACTGACTACTAAAATGATAATTGTCATTTGTTTTTATCCCGTTATACATATTCTTATTCTTTGGTATCATTCTGCTATTTCTTCTTTCGTTTTCTATGCTAATATTCATGTGGTTCAGAATTATTGCAAATGGCTGCAACGATAATCAGTGGTGATAATGTAAATAAATAAATAAATAAATAAAAACAAGAAATAGAAATAATGGGATACCATTGCTGATATTTTTTTGGAAAGTAATCATTTTTGACAGTCAAAAAATATATTAGTTATGATATTCCATAATATTAAAGGTCAGTTATATATATGTGAATATTAGTGTAGGTGCATAATTATTGCAAATGGCTGTATACTTATAGTTATTGATATTGCATAATTCCTAAAAGGAAATCATTTATGCATTCAGCAAGACACTAGCGTAGTGAAGAGCAAGAGTTTGACAAATTAAATAAACTTGTGAAAGTAAAAAAATTGAATTTTGTGCCCTCCAAAAATTTGAATTCGTGCACCGGGTAGGCGACCTGCAGCGAGAAYTATAGTTCTCTATTGTTAACAYTGATCTATATGTCAGAGCTAAAATCATATAATGCGAAAAGAAAGCCGCAATGTAGACAGACATATGAATGAAGCTCATTAAATTGGTTCGATACGTACTTACATAGGATGACACCATTGTCTAAGGCCTCAGCAAAAGCGTCCCCGGGTCTGCTGTGCTCGTGTTCAACGCCCCATCGAACGTTTTCGCCAGCCATCATCTCGATCCATTCCCTGCATTGAACCTCGAGCTCTTTAGGGTACTTGGAATTCAACTGAGCAAAATAATATCTATTAGAGATACCAACTAAATAAGAATTGATTARATTGTTCGGTCTACCCTTCATTTATTCTATTATTGTTTAGTCTTTTAGTGTCTAGCAGGGCAGGAGGCGATTCACGATTTTGCCTGTCCGCTGATCTTTCCCTCCCTTTTTTACGATTCACTTCTTACAGACCTGCATGCTGAATACCAAACTGGCTCTACACCATAGCAAGAAAGAACAATAGAGTGGTTTTCCGTCAACCATGAAAAGAAATAGACCAACTATTAGTATTGGTCTATTACAAACTACAACTAACTGTTAGACTTATTGTGCTTTCATGGTTGACGGAAAACTACTCTACAATTTGAATAGAGTGTGGTTTTCATTAACCCGTGAAACACACTTTAGCGTATTTATCGCTATTACACTTTGGATCTTTTGTTTTTTATTGTCTCTACGCGACTATTACGATGTATTACAGTCTAATTATTACACTTTCTTTCCTTTTCGACCCGCTCGGTTAACGGTCCTCTCGCGGGGAAAAGGGTCCAGAAGAACTTGCATGCGCATGCGCCGCCATACACCGCATATATACGGTGTCATGGCGGCCAAGGGTTTTTCCTCGTAAAGAGAAGAGACAGCAAAAATAATTTAAGCCAATACGCGTAAAAATTCGATTCTGATTTCATATCAGCAGTAAGATATGCTCTCGAGTCAAGAGCGTTAAGACTTCAAACCAAGTCAGAACAAATGGAAGCTTGGTTTCATCTGTCGAAAAGTAGAGATGAGTTCGTCCATTTGAGTACTGGATTTGGCAAATGACTTTTTATACAGTTTGTTTCCGTTGATATGCGACATCTTTCGTGGTTGCCGTTCATCTATAGTATTGGTGATTTCTCCTTTTATTTCTCTGATAAATGCAGCCAAATTTATAGTCGAAGTGAGAGACGGCGATTTCACCGACTACAATGTGTTAATGTTGATCCCCGAGAGTTTCAACTCCAGAAGGTCAAAGACAACATGAAAACTTCAAGGTAACATCGTATGTGTTGCTGTCGATGAAGCTCACTGCATCGAACAATCGTAATAATTTCAGTAAAATGTTGTTTGTAAATGTTGTGTTCGATCAAGTTTGCTTAAATCTTCTACTATCATGTAAATAAAAAATTCGACATTATCTTCATGTGAAAGATTATCAAGCCATTAAAAAAAGGAAATTATTTTCCTCATTTGCAGTTGCCTTTAAGTTGAATAATAATAAGTTTTCCCCAACTCGTTTTTTAATTGGTTCATGCCGGCGCATGCGCATGCAAGTTCTTCTGGACCCTTTTCCCCGCGAGAGGACCGTTAACCGAGCGGGTCAAAAAGGGGCTGGGACTGGACTACCATATAAACAGCTGGATCTTGCATTTTGACGCAAGATGTTACAATAAATTGCTATCCATGTTGTCGCTGGTATGACGTATTTGGYAGACAAAGTGAGTGTCGGTTAGCGCTATATCGACTAGTGGACTAGGACACGGCAGTCGTCCTCAAAACATCGTAATCTCAGAAAGAACAATTTTATGAGATGCCCTTATTGTTGGGTTCCAAAACGGACGCATTCTCGCCCCCAGGTGTCCTCAGGCGTTTTGATTGTGCGCGGTCCTAGAGGAGGCTCTTCTAAAGAACGACATTTATCACTTTGTCAGACTGCACCAACAAAGCCACAAGAACAAAATGATATAATTTAATTATATAACGGATTGGGTGCGTTCACGGATAGAATACTTAGCTATAAACAGATGGAGCCCCTATATGAAAACAAAAAAAACAAAAAACAAAAAGAACAAAACAAAACAAAACAAACAAATTATATCTGACCAAAGAATAATATAAAAATACTTATAAAATGTTATCAATTTATTTATAATACTTGACGATGAAYATTAGTTATCATCACTTTGTTCATACTTCACCGAGTAAATCATGCTAATGTTTCCAGTACTGGTTAAAAGGCAATGTTGTCTTGAGATAAAATTCCATTGCGAGATAAGATGTAATAACAAATCCATGTAAAGTAACGGTTTGACGTAACAAGATCTCATATTAATTGATTAAACCTACAGCCAAGATACCATCACAGGCGATGGTAACTCAACACGGCGCCGACCTTTCAGACCTTTAAATGCATTTTTCCACTAGGGAGGAGACGGTCTTGTTTACATAACGGAGAAAGCACAAATCAACGACACCCTTTAATAAAGTTGACAATCTCCATACAAACTGCTTGTAACTTGTTGTAAAGTAGCGCCGAGCCGTTATTGGCCATTACTGTGGTAATTCAGAATTATTATTTAATAATACAAATAATGCAGGCATAATTTACAGCCGTCAGAAATTCCAAAAGTCAGTCTCTTATATTTTTGKTTTCTTTCGATTTGGGATCTGATGTGCTTCATGATAAAATCGGCGTTAGAATGGTTTACATAATAACAATCAGAAATAGATTAGTTCGTTAATAGATACATCTGTCTACCTACTCKAAGGGGTTGGGTCGGTAAAATTACAATGCACATCTACCGCATTCAATCATCCTTTAGATTACTACTGAGTGCTCTATGATTACATATTTCAAATCTTTTAGCAATCTTTCAATAACCACCAATGGCTCTTGTAAGGTGGATTTCAAGAGCCAGTCTTCGCAATTCCGTCTTCTCTTCCGTTATCTACGTCTTCAATTGAAATGCAACTTGCATTTCTAATTGCAAAAACTTCTAAAAAACCTATAAAAAGTTGACATAACAGATATATAAAGTTTCAGAAAGTCAAAGTCTCAAAGCCAAAGATTTTCGTTTCTTGCTGAGCGGAATAGTTACCCTGCAGGATCATTTSCGTGACATACAAAACGTTCAGAAACTTAATATTTGCAAAAAAAGTACCTTTCTGTTCAACTCTGCAGACATGCCATACAGTTTATGGCGATTGGAGCCTTTTCGCTTAATAGGAGTTTCTTCAGTCATCTTTGCGCACGATATTGATTCTCCACAGGCTTTAACACGGTYAAGCAGCGAGACAATTTCTTACCGAGCTATTTAACCAGTAGGATATCGAGTTTCCGATGWCACGGTCTCCGTTACAAATTGCTATAAAAGAATACTTTCTAATCAATGGTAAAGTWGGGAAAATAGGTCAGAAATGGCATCCACGGAATGGCTGCACTCTGATAAAACATCTCATATCGGGTCAAATCGATCCATGGAAATTGGATTACATCAGCAAAAACATTGCAATTGACCTAATACCCATTAGTTTTTAGAAGCCCTTAAGCAAACCACAACTCACAACATACAGCTGGTTAGGTATTTGAACGTACAAGGGCATGAAATGTAAAAAATGTAGCGCCTCAATTTAATAGACGTCAAGTAGTAGTCACACAGTAAGATGAGCCGTCTGAACTACATTAAACCTTACAAAATATCCAAACATCTTTATTGTATCAGCAGATTTTCCGAGAACCGTTTTACAATAATTTCGGACTGATTTCTCTGATATCATATAAAGTAGCGAAGCAAGATAACAAATGTACAAATAATTCATGAACATATAGTATAAGAACTGAGAAAGAACAGAAAACGAAATATGGAATATGGAAAAAAATATGAGAGAAACATCGTTGATACTTATAATAAATATAAGTGCCGAAACGTACATTAAAGAGTAGAAAATCAAGTTGCAAGTTGTGTGCCTTTTTCTTCAATTTATTCATTAAAATTTATTTAAATTTAAWACAGAGATATCAAAGCTTCAAGTTGGTGTTTTATTCAATTTCATTCTACTTATATATATTTTAGAGAACGGGACAGCATGAATGAAATTCATTAAGTTGACTAGTGTTTTTTGTAGAAATATAGTTTTTGGGTGGTTTGAATCAAGGAGCCATCAAGTCAATCATGCCCAGGCTCCGCTGAGTCCGGCTAAAAAAGATCCATCAGCCACACACTCAAGCAAACAAAGTGCTAAAAAGGAGACCTAATAGCTTGAAATACACACAGGAAGCCAAGCACTAGCTAAGTTGTCTTGTAGGGGGTAAGGGACAACTAGGCACGGCTTCACTCTGGTATCCAGAATCTAGTTCAATATGACGTCGAATCAAAACATTCCATTGTTTTAACGCTAAAAGATCATGATCGCCAGAGAAGATCAGAGTGACTGCATATCAAATAAAATGTACACGATCAATCTTTAATGCATAACATACACCTATTTCAAAAAAATGTTGTCATGGAGAACGGCGAACGCAATAGTCTCCTTCACGGTTACATGCGCCATGTTGAAAGGTAGCCGTGCCTTTACATCAAAGCGAGACAACCGTTGAGCGTGCAATGATAGAAACCTGTGAATAATTGTCTGCAGGTGTGAAAGAAGGTTTCTATCATTGCACGCTCAACGGTCGTCTCGCTTCGATGCAAAGGCACGGCTACCTTTCAAGATGGCGCASGTAACCGTGAAGGAGACTATTGATGMAGGGAGATTGCACGATCTAAAGGGACTATGGCATGGGGCTGGTTTGAGAAATAAAATTTTACTTATTGGATTCACCTTGCATAGAAATGGAGTCTAAATGGGGCCAATGTTTACCACAGACTATCTTACAGTGTAAATCAGTTGTTATTTCTCCGGGTTCCTCAGGAAACCCGAGTTGGGGATTCAGCTTTCTTCGGTTTTGGTCGTCGCTTTTCAGTCACAAATTGTCRCACAGGTAGCCCAAGCTCAGCACTTGTGGGCGAGAGTGTAACGCGTGATGGAAGAAGACATGGATTCGACGTCTACAAATACGCTCAAAATAACTTACAAATCCACACATTCGCGGTATAGCCACACTACGTCCAGTAAAAATCGCCTGCATATAAGAGGCCAGCCCTCTTTCTTTTTTTTTTTTGCTTTTGCACTGTGTACTGCTTGGATTGGCTCCAAACGCAATCTCGTACCCCGAGCCTTCGTTCTCCTGGCCAGCGCCGAAAACGTAAGACTCTGGGGTATCGGAATTTTTTGCGAATTTTGATTGGTTCTTGAAATTGAAACAAATGCCGTCGGAAGTGAAATTACACCAAGGAAAACATGCAAATTCATGTTTTATCTCGACATTTTACCTTAGATTCTTGCTTTAAAATGATTTATTGAGTCATTCAAGCAGGAAATTGTGATGAACAAGATCAATAAATGCATTATCGTAATGCAGTTAAATTTAGCCGCGACGTACTGTCGCACCGACTGACCAACCGTCGCGATCGGAAAACATTCCAAAATTTTACATGATCAGACCATAATCTAAACGAATTTACTTTGTCGAAGGAAYATCAATTACTTGGGATCTTGTAAGTTCCTTTTTTGACTTTCTTTAAGGCGATTTTCTCGAGAAAATTCGATCCAAAGCCGTTTGGATAACGAGTCATGCGCAGTGGGAARCGGAAGACAGAAATCCGTAGTAAAAATTCCGTTATCCCAGAGTCTAGTGTTTTTTGACGGCGCTGGCCAAGAAAAACGTAGGCTCGGGGTACGAGATRGCTCCAAACGCAGATATATAACCGGAAGTGACGTCTATAAGAACCACAACGAAGACATGTCATTGTTTACATTTGTTGTTTTTTTTGATATGCAAATTACTTTGTATTATTCATGCTTGCCTAATTTTATAACAATTCATTGTGACGGGAACTGGTGTATTTTGAATTACGGCAACACGAATGTGATGGCTTTTCTCTTTAGACGAGAAGTCAATGCAGTTTACCAAGAGGACTTACAGTGTCCAATTTGTCTTGAAGACTTTAGTGAACCTAAATTATTACCATGTCTACACAGTCTTTGTACTGCTTGTATRGAAGAGCTTGCCAGCTCATTAAGCGAAAGTCGATCCATCAGTTGTCCGTTATGTAGAGCAGAATGTAAAATACCCAACGGAGGTGCCAAGAAATTACCCTCAAACACTAAACTCGAAAAGTTATTGAAAGACGCTCCGACAACGAGAGCTAAGGAGGAGATAAAGGAAGCCATTAACGACTGTGAAGAAAACTTAGCAACAATTAAAGGCATAGAAAAACGGGTAAATCGAGCATTTTATCAAGAAGGCGAGGAAGTAAAACGTCGAATCCACGAAGTGTGTAGGAATATAGTTGACATGATAGGACAACAGGAGAAACAGCTATGTAAAGATGTCGACAATCTCATCATTAACCAACAAACCACRCATCCAGCAGCTCTTCTCATCGACAAGACTGGTAAACTTATTCAAGACATTAACGATGTTCTAAAACACAATGAATCTAGAAGTTTTGTTCGAGATAAGGATGTTTTTATTCACCACTTGAGTGAAGCTAAAATCGCGGCTTCCAAACTTAGTCATATTTACCGTGACGTGCCAATGAAGACTTCCACTTTGGAGTTCCAGCGAAACCGGCAAATGATGCAATGCATGACCAGCTCCTTATTTGGCAGTATTACTTACAAGAACACAACTCGGAAGCCGACAAAATCAACTATGGTAAATAAAGGACTTGTATCTGACTTGCATATCATAAAACCAGGGACAAGGTTTCGCAGTCTTCAAGTTCCTTCATCACTAGAATCAAAGTTTCAACCGTATGCTATCGCTGGGAATCATCAAGGAAAGATCGCAGTGTCTTGCCATGGTACTCACTCTGTTTTACTTTACAAGGAGAATGGAGAATTCTCTCAGCTGATAGGTTTGTAAAATCGCTGCACTTAGAATTTTGGTGGACAGTTTTACTAGGTCGCTTTAAAACTTTCAGTGTGCGTTATGATTCATATTCTAGCTTTGAACAGCTTYAAAAGCCGGACGAAAACGCTTTCAACACTTGTTTGAACATTTGTTCAACTTTGTTGAACGCTTGCTGTAGGGTACTCAGGAAGCCCGACACGGAAACGGATAGGAGACTAGCTCAGTGTAGGGCACTGTTGGACGCTTTTSTATTGCTTCCACATTTGTTCGATTTTGTTGAACGGCAATAAACGGCGCGTTTGCGTGGGACTTTCAACATGTTACAACGGCGACAAGATCGAATACTCAGGCACATTACTACATTATTGAAATAACGAAAACGGCTCCAAGATCATTCAACATTTTCGAGAAAAAGAACTGTTGAATGGATGTYGTTTTTAAAAACGCTTTTTTAAACTGGCTTAACATTGATTGACGTTTTAAAAGCCCCGCACAAACGTGCTCAACATTGCCGCTAACCAAAGATGTATTAGTTTTAAACAAATGTTAACAAAATATCGATAACAGATCTAGTCTCCTCTCGCAGCCGTTACGAGGTTCGTTCCCAGTTCTCTCTCACAGATCTGATCTAGAAAGACTCATACAGAGCTCAACATTTMGACTGTCTCAGCCATTTGACCGCCTCCGTCGTGTCGTTCTCAGTTCTCACGGACTAAATGCCTMCCATTCATTATTCAAATGGCATGCAATTGCAACCTCTTGCGACAAAAAAAGTAAATACTTGGCTCCTAACCCGTGAACATTTATCCAGTCATTTTATTTTTAATACATAGTTCTATTGACTTACCGTTCTTAGGTCGTCGTGGATCTGGTAAAGGAGAGTTTGAATGTCCAACGGGTTTGGCTTTCCTAAGTTCTCATATCCTGGCCATAGCTGATGGCTGTCTGTTTGGAAATCCATCTCGATTACAGGCTTTTGATTCTTCAGGTCGGTTTGTTCGCTGCCTCACTCAACTAAACAAGAACACTCATTGGCTGACACATATCACGGTACAAGCAAATCAGCAGATTATCATTACATGTAYTCACGTTGCTATGGAATACGAGTCATATGTACAGGTAGGTATGTTGTCGTTTTTACTGTCTATTAGTATGTCACGTGGTATATTATCACCCGAAATCACATCCATTATTAGACGGCAAATTCATTTAGACGTTACAACTTTTACCTAGAAGATACAATACAAAGATAGGATACCTTCAAAAGTTACTAGTTCCCTTATTTTCAATCCAAAAAGATGCGATCAAGTCCTCAGCCCATTGCTAACGGGCGTTACCGTCTCCGTCAAGGTTGAATATATTTCTCAGGTAAAATCGGAACTTCCTTATCTTGATATGATTCATTATTGTAGATTGTTAACACAGATGGAACAGTGGCTTTAGCATTTGGAGCAACAGGACCAGGAAAGTTACTCTCTCCTGTAAAAACGATCAGTGTAAATAATGAGTACTTCGTATCAGACTATGATAAATCAACGAATTGTTGTATGATCAAAGTCTTTGATGACAAAGGTCGATATCTACGTTCATTTGGAGATTGCATGCTTAAAAGGGACATCAAAGACAATCCATCTTACCCTCTAGTTATTACTGACGATCCATGTACAGGACTGATTCTTGCTTACAGCGGTTTATTCAAAGTCATTCGTTGTTATAAGCCCGATGGAAGTCTAGTTTCGTATCATGGGACTGTATCTGGTATAATCGACATGGTACTTACTCAAGACAGAAGACTCTTCGTCGTCTGTGATGGGACTGGAGAGTTTCCACACAGTGTACAAATTCTCTTTCACACTTAAGACCGCAAGAGGAATTATTCAAAAGCACACTCCTTACACCCTCTCAACACATCTACTTCAACTGTCGTAAACTACTAGTACACTACATTTACCCCATGCATAACCAACCAATATGCCCCGATACCAACAAAAACCAATTACCTTAGCTCTGAACACATCTACTAAATCAACTGCACTACCACTACCGTGTTGTGGCTCAATACTCTGTCAGTCAGTTCGCATAACAACTTTTCAACCTCATAATATTTATTTCTGATAAGTATTTAAGATCAAATAAAGATATTATTTCCGAGTACTATAATTTATTCAAGTTACCTAATTCATATAAACTAGAATGATGGAGCTTAACCCGTTCAAAATACACTATACGCCCCATGCACGCTGTGCACTATTACTATGTTTCATAACTTTTAGGTAGCAAATTTTTATGGTACTCTGTTCTAAAGTATCAAAAAATACTAATCTTGTCATATGTTACCTCGTATATTCAATGCACTATGCAGTGTAATGAAACAGTAATATTTAACAATGGGGGTTCTAATGAGCTAAGCGCAATAAGTACGGGTTAACTACCATCACGGGTTAACTACCATCAATATTTCAAAATATCAACTTGCTCCATTGTACGTAAAACAAAATATAAACCCTTATAGCCTTGCATTAATGATATCTACGAACTCTGGTTTGAGTGAAGCACCACCAACAAGAAAGCCATCGATGTCTGGTTGGGCAGCGAGTTCACGACAGTTCTTTGCGTTAACTGATCCTTAAAGAAACAAACAGGAATAATTGGAATTGGTTTAGGCATCCATAGGAAGCCCAAGCTGTGTGGCTTGCATAGTTTTAAGACTTCTTATTTTTCGCATGCAACTCATTAGGTTCAATATTAACCAAAAATATATAGCAATATGATCCACATTACAATTATGCACAGGGACGTATCCAAACATTTTGAAGGTTGGCTCTGCATTCGTTTAGTAGCCTCCGTAGCAGAKATTTCAAGCCACCTGGAACGTCTGCTACGGAGGCTATTCGCTGAGGTCTTGATAAATGAAACGCTTTCATTTGTTGGCTTAATTTTAAAGCACTACTACCGACGAAAATTGCGAAACATTTGAAAAGACTTGGAAATCGAATAGACCTYTCCTATCATAATCATGAAGCAACAGATTTCAAGAAGATATTGATAGAAATCCTTAAGATTTGGGCACAAAATGTTGGAGTAGATGACGTCATTTACTCCATCCTTTTGTTCTTCAATCTTTTGAATCAAAATTTTTCTGATGTGCCGGATAATTTCAAAACAAACTGTTTGCCCACAATTGTTATTAATAGATATAAATGAGTCGTATATTTGTATTGCTTGAAGTTTTGAAATAAGGCCATTTTCATGCAAGTAGCACTTTAAATTATTTTATAAAACTTATGAACAAAATACGATAAATTGTTTGATTGAATATACATGTATAACGAGGGATATAAATTATGAAATGATATTTCGTGAAAAACATTTAAATATCGTGCATTTCCCAAAATGGGGTGTCACCGGCAAATCCCTTGTACTGATTGCATACATGTATTTCAGAAAACATTTAATACTGAACACTGCATAGCGCATGCATTCCAAGACATTGAAGTGCTGCAGTTACACCCCATGTTAGCCTGCGTTACATCCGGTTTTATTTGGCAAAAGGACCGTTATTTTGGCGAAATAAACCGGATGTAACGCAGGCTTACCCCATGTTAGCTGCGTTGCAAAATCAGGACAATCCTAAAGATTGCTTTCCATTGAAGTTCTTGACTTATTAACGTAGCTGGTATAGTAACTGTGACATCACATTTTCAATGGCGATAGAACGACCTACAATGCATTTGGGTCTTGGAATACACTATCTTCACTATTCAACGTGTCCTGAAATAGCTTTGTATATTATATAATATGTTTAAAATAATCAGTGCAAAACTCTGCAGTAAGCATAATCTATTACCTCCATATATGATGCGCGTATTGCATGACACATCTACAGATACTTTCTCTTTTAACCATCCACGAAGCTGTTGGTGAACNCTGTTTGCCCACAATTGTTATTAATAGATATAAATGAGTCGTATATTTGTATTGCTTGAAGTTTTGAAATAAGGCCATTTTCATGCAAGTAGCACTTTAAATTATTTTATAAAACTTATGAACAAAATACGATAAATTGTTTGATTGAATATACATGTATAACGAGGGATATAAATTATGAAATGATATTTCGTGAAAAACATTTAAATATCGTGCATTTCCCAAAATGGGGTGTCACCGGCAAATCCCTTGTACTGATTGCATACATGTATTTCAGAAAACATTTAATACTGAACACTGCATAGCGCATGCATTCCAAGACATTGAAGTGCTGCAGTTACACCCCATGTTAGCCTGCGTTACATCCGGTTTTATTTGGCAAAAGGACCGTTATTTTGGCGAAATAAACCGGATGTAACGCAGGCTTACCCCATGTTAGCTGCGTTGCAAAATCAGGACAATCCTAAAGATTGCTTTCCATTGAAGTTCTTGACTTATTAACGTAGCTGGTATAGTAACTGTGACATCACATTTTCAATGGCGATAGAACGACCTACAATGCATTTGGGTCTTGGAATACACTATCTTCACTATTCAACGTGTCCTGAAATAGCTTTGTATATTATATAATATGTTTAAAATAATCAGTGCAAAACTCTGCAGTAAGCATAATCTATTACCTCCATATATGATGCGCGTATTGCATGACACATCTACAGATACTTTCTCTTTTAACCATCCACGAAGCTGTTGGTGAACCTCTTGTGCCTAAAAAACACAGTACATGTATTACTAACCTCTGATTGGCTGAGAGTCGTATTGACAATAACGCCTTGTGGTCAGTAGATTTTTCTAATAACTAACAATTTTCTCTTATCAAGAGCGCGATACTCTAGTACACATAACCACCCATCTTCTTATCACATAACTTCTAACCAATAATATCATAATATTGGTGACATTTTATTCCCTTTTTATTTCTAAGAATACAAGGGAGATGCAGCGCTTCCTTTAGCCAAATAAATGACAGATTATGCGTCAATTAAACGTTTCTTCCAAGAGACATGTTAAAATATCACAGATTTATCTGACCTGCTGTGGTGTGGCTGTTTTCCCTGTACCAATGGCCCAAACAGGTTCATAGGCAATCACCACTTTACTCCAGTCTGATACTTGCTCTGAAAATGATTTTAGTATAGCCACATGAAACATTTTGACACGAAAGCACCATCTAGCTGCAATACTTAAAAGTCCAAGTCTTTCTTTACGTACAATCAACTACAATTATCGTTCTTTGAACATTACATAGCTCTTCTCACTTTCAATTAACTTCTTGACAGCCTTAACCTAATCATATGCCTACGTAATTAATTTTTGGACCACTACTAAATTAAAGTAGTTCACAAAATCAGTTTTAGATATCAAATGAAGTAGCGGGTGATAGAAGGTAACTTACTATACCTGCAATAGCTGAGAGTTGTCTAAAGACAACCTCTTGGGTCTTTCCTGCTTCTCTCTCAGACAACAGTTCACCAATGCAAGCAATTACAGAAATACARGAAGTCAGTGCATGACCAACCTTCTCTGCTATTAGCTGCAAACAATCACACYTTWTTGAATTCAATAATTCATGAAATAGAGTTCAATCAGCAATTGCCAGTGAATACAGCACAGTCCATTCTTTTCTAAACCTTTGTCSTTTTAGTACTAACTGTATATTAACTGGAAGGTCATTTAAATCCAAATGCCTCCTGACAAACTTTTGGCTTCACTAGCCTCTTAGGCTTATACCAATCATTCCACTTTCATCTCATTATAAAGCCATGCTTTAGTTTCCTGTGTAATTTCTCATACAAATTTTTTTTAATTGCAAGCAAACTAATATAGCTACATACTGTTTACTTTATAATCAAACATCCAATTATACATTTCCAGATAATCGTCATTCCAAAACATACCTGSTCACTTTCTCCAAATATATTCCTTCTTTCAGAGTGTCCTATTATTACCCACTTACAGTTGAGGTCTTTGATCATGTCAGGGCTACAAACAATGAAAAAAGTGAAAACAAAATAGAATGCTTGTTAGCATAACAAAAAAATGCATAAATAAATATATCCTTTGACTCATTTGAATTTCTGTTTAATTTAATTTTTTAGAGCTTTGGAGAGATTGATACCCTGGGAACCAGAGGCTGGATTTACTCGTTCTTATAGTTTATATACGGCGCGAAGCGCCYTCCTTGAGGCCGAAGGCCGAACCGTAAACCAGCCTCTGGRGGCACGGATAGCGAATCTCACTTCCATGTCAGTGTTTACATTCAAGATCTGAATGTTGCAGCTGATTGGTCCGTTGATATCAGAGCGATATTATTGGTTGAAAATCAAAACCGYTTTTCAATCAGATACTCGACGAAAGATAAGTTGTCAGAATCAAATGTAAAATGTTACGGGTCACTGATCTCCGTCGTGTATCAGAATTCTTACAGAATGTAAACTAAGCAAAATCCCCAGAAGATGTAGTTAAAGCAATACTTTACGAATCTGCAAAGTGTGTAGCTGCAGCCTCTCGAATTTGTAGACAGGGGACTTGCAATTCATCTGGAGAAAAGATCGTTTTTAGAGAAAATATTTGCTTTTGAAATTATAGCGAGCATCTACATGTCTCACCTTCACTCGGAAGTTAAAAAAACTCGAAAGTCTAAAACTTTTAGGACAAAGAATTATCTAATGTGAAAGAACTTTATCGTAAATCTTCGTCGAGTATCTGATTGAAAACCGGTTTTGATTTTCAACCAATAATATCGCTCTGATATCAACGGACCAATCAGCTGCAACATTCAGATCTTGAATGTAAACACTGACATGGAAGTGAGATAGAGGCTGGTTTACGGTTCGGCCTTCGGCCTCAAGGACGGCGCTTCGCGCCGTATATAAACTATAAGAACGAGTTAATCCAGCCTCTGGTTCCCAGGGTAAGAGATTGAAGGAATGCTTGTTTTTAATCCAATAACACGTCACATGGTTCAAAAGTATTTGCAATTTTCAACAATTGACATTTTCTGCAATCTACATGGATATGACACCTCTATTGACAAATCACAATATGCAATTCTATAGTTTGCTGCAATCTTTTTTTTTCATTTTAAACCTGATTTCCCCAGTGTAAGCTCCACTTGGTACTTTGTAGCAATTTTGAGCTGCGACTCCAATATCAGACTTGGCATTAGTGCTTACATAGTCCAGGTACAATGTTGGTGGTGATACCACAACCTCTACAAAGATCATTTTGGTAAATATGAATGGAAATCCATGGTTGACTATTCACAAAGGTTGTAAGGGTTTTCTTTGTGAAGTCTCAAAAGCTAGTGTTCTTAATTCTTTATCAAATGTGATTTGAGAAAGATGAAAGTTCATATTAGAGTGACACAGTAAGCCTGTGAGTTTTCAAAACTTAATAAATCAATTCTGTTTTCCTCAAGAATTAAACAATAAAGAAAACTAATTGTGAATGACTTTGGAATTCTACATTCTACAACTGTGCTTCCAATCCTTCGTAACATTAGTATTTMTTGACAGCAAAACCAAGTACTTTAATGCTTTTGTAAGTCTGTCTTTACATTGCATTTTCATTTCATTTTTTCACTGACTATTAAATAAATCTAGATTTCCCATGCTATTTTGTTTCATTAATGTCTTTTCCATGCTGTTCTGTTTCAATTCATCAATTCTATTATCAAATTGAGCCCTTTGTACCAATAATCAATGCAATGACCTGCAGTCTATATCCACATGCAATCCAGAAACCACTATAACTGTCATGCGTGCATGTAACAAAGTAATCCCCTTCACAGTTCCTCTATTATCTTGAAAGGTAGCTGAGCCTATCTTTGCATTAAAGAGACAACAATGTTTAGTGGCTGACAGTTCTGTCATACCTGAAGACATCTGAAGCCACATAATCACCATCATGGTCTCTCTTTGATGCAAAGATTATTACATAGACTTCAAGATTCCTAGATGCAAAGGAGTCTACATTGGAATGCCTTGTGATTACTATGAAGACTGGATGTTCAAATTCAAAGTGACAACTTTTCCGGGATTAAAACTTTAAGTATAAACTTAAGTAAGCTTTAATCTGTACATGCTTGCTTTTATGTTGGCTTACGTATTCAAGATCCTAGACTATCTTATTTATTAGGATTTCTCAAAATATATTGCAATTCAGTCGAAAAACTGAACTGACATGAGATTGTTAAAATGCATTAAATATCTTTAGATAAGTAACTTACAATGCTTCAAAATAACGCTGCTGACACTTGAAATGTAGAACTCGTTGCAAAGAATATGTGAGCTCACCTGTGTCTGGCGACAAGCTATTCTCGAGTAAATTTTTCAGGATCTCATCTATCTTAGCTTTGTTTCCATTCATTTTCCAGTTTCCACCCACAAAGAACTTTCGAACCATGTTTATACCCGTGCAAATGTACTGTATTCTTACACAATTCGAGCTCTTGTTCCCACTTRTCAAAAGGCAGTGCACAAACTAGTTACCAGGACTCTGTCGGTTTAATCTTACATAACAGACAGGAAGCCCAAAATTAAATAACCATGAAAGGTCTCGACGATATAAAAATCGTCTGATTCCCTAAAATTATGATGATGTGAAGATTGCATAAGTATAACAGACGTTTGGCATTTTCGGTACTGATTCGCTTATAAGAAGATCGCCCCATGACACGAAATCCCGGATGAAGAAGAGCACACCAGAGGGTAATAAGAACAATCTCGTGTTAGAGAATAAAATGATTAAAAGATTTTGGCAATGAATTTTCGTTAACTGGTTTTTGTCAAATGGCGGAAAAAAACCTTGATTTGGTCTATTATGTAGACCTTGAGCATTCCCAATATTTTGCAGCTCGTTTGAATTCAGTAAGAACATCACTTGCGAACTGCAAGACATTGCTGAGGTTCTTTCCTTTATTCTGAGAAAGCTCTAAACTGTTCCATGTAGTGGTTCCATCAAGTTCTGGTGGTAAAAAAGAGAAAAGCTGCCGCGGACTCARCCGAACTACACAAAGGTATAGAAATGATCAGMGATCAAAGAATCAGGGATAACTGAGAACACTAASGTGTGGTGCTTTGGAACCACCTGGTTTGCGGCAAGCAAAAKGTCCTTAGGTTGCCGTCATTATTTTTTTAGTCATTTTTCTTACTTTTGATAGCACACGGCACTCATTTAAAGCAGAGAGTTATGTTATTATTGATAAGCATTTTTTTTAGTTATTAGTATTGTATTTATTACCATTAGCATTTTATAATTTCTGATGGATTTACTGTGTTTTTAAAAATGGTTATACTATTCTATTCTATTCTATTATTTATTACCATTAGCATTTTATAATTTCTGATGGATTTACTGTGTTTTTAAAAATGGTTATACTATTCTATTCTATTCTACTCAATTTTTCGGGTATTTTACGCATTTTCTGGGATATATGTATATTTATTGGTTTCCATTATAAAAGTCATGAATTCGTTGATTTTCGTCCTTAT